ATCTAGAAGCTAAATGACTATAGCATCTACTGCATTGTACAGCGGTAAGATGGCTATGCGAGGCACGAGCAGGTGCCAGACCAGCCCGCACCAATGTGCACCCCCATGTGTACAAGGCATAAGGTGATGTAAGTAAAACTAGTACGGCCCCTACAACCCCATGTTAACACAATCAGAGCTGCCATAATAATAGCAATACTATTATCCAAGTCTTTAGGAACTACAAAACAGTGATGGTTGTTAAACCCAAAACTATACACATGAAGCTCACCGATCAATCCCGCACAGTATAGAGGTGGAATGCCATTATGGTATCAGACTATATCGATATCCACCATCTCCTCCTCTAGGCCTCCAACATCTACATTCTCATCTTCACCCTCATACTGCAAATCCAGAGCAAGTCAGATAAATATCACATGTTAAAGTGCAAGACAGATAATTCATGATAAATTCTATAAATGTATTAACATTTTTTTGACGATAAAAAATATCAGACATGGGGAGATCGATTCTGAATAGAGTTAAATCACTATCCGTGTATTCTTATTATATGTTGTGCCAATGTAACCAAGTGCCTATAGTCAACCAGAAGGACAAGACCATCAAACCAACCTTTGAATAGGTATTTCGATGGCTTGGAGGAGGTGGGGGAAGTGAAAATGGCAAGCTTCGGGCCTCATATGTAGCACCTCCTCTAACAATCCCCCGAGAAATATTTTCAACTACTTCAACATTCTCCTCCATTTCAATTTCAACTAGGTCATCAATTGCACGAGCAGCCATGCTGGTTGATGGTACGTGAAGCACTGAGCATGAACCCTTGGTCTGTCCATACAAACATGCATGAAGTTAAGTATTTCCTTAAAATTAGTCCGCCATTCATTGCACTTGTAATTCATGAATAATGACAATGAATCGGTGACTTTCTTGTCCACATAAATAAAAAAATATATAAAAGTTGTTTTGAGTGTTCTAATTTCTAACAGTACAATAGCAACATAAATATTCCTATGAGAGGGGCAATCCCTACAACAATGCTTATAATGATAATTTGCAAGTTGATAGGAGCCAAGACCTGGCATCTGCTGATACTGGTGCACTGTGGAACTGCCTTGCAAAGTGTAAATTATGATATGTACAGGAAACGCAACCAACAAAATTTTCCTTTCCCTTTAAATTCTCCTGGCTACATTTTCTCACTTGTTTGCTAGCTTTTACCAATCTTCAAGTTACAAGCTAATCTCTGATTTTTACTGGAAAAGGCTCTCATGTCATGATTGACAAACATCAAAAGGAAAATAAAGAAAACTTAAAACAAAAGTGGGAAAGAAGAAATTACCTTATCCAAGGGAATACTGGTGGAAACACCTTTTCCTTTCTTTTGCTTGCTTTCATTTCCTATAGGAAAATGACTGTTATTCCTATTGTCCACTACCCCAATTTCCAGGTTGCTATTCAGCTGAACAGGGTGTGAATGAAATTGGGAAAGCTTACTCAATCTTAGAGTCTCTGCCTGATGGCCACCATTGATTAAATTGCCTAAAAATCCAGCAAGATGTCAGCACATACCTAGAAAGTTGCACGTGATTTTGTGGCAGAAAATCAGTAATAATGACCAGATTAAAAAGGCCATTTCAAGTTAAGTTCCACTGATATCAAAGTATTGGAAATAATTAATGGTAGCATGCAGCAGTGTGATGGAAATATGGAATGACCATTTGCCCAAATAATGCAGCTATGGAACAACATGAAGAGGATAGATTAAAGATAAAAACTCCACACTTATTGGTCTAGACTCAGCTGCTTGTTCCATGCCTTTATATTTGCTTCTTATTCTTCTTGACAAATGTTCAACTACATCTTCAAGGACATATCTTGTAATAGGGGGCTAATACTATGTGATACATAATGACGTCAGATCAGGGGACCAATCAAATTTGAAGGTTCCAAAATTCCATTTACTATATAATATATAAAGACACCATATACCTTGTGTTGATTTTTCAGCGGTATACTGTTTACCACCCAAACTTTTCTCAATTGGAGAGGAATTATTCTGCTTCTGCATCTCATTCTCTGCACTGATTGCACAATGACCATTTATCTCTCCATCATTGACAATTTTGAAGCTTGAATCCTCTTCATTGCAATCAGTTGCAGTACCAGAAACAAGCTGATCACCCAACTTCTTAAATCGAACTTCTGACCTATACAGTTCCATGAATAAATCGATTAATGACAACCAGCAACCACCAAAGAAAAGATAAAATGTGTCAAACAAACAAAACCACAGAAAGATCATGAGAAATGGTATCAAGAGAAATGCCTTTTAAGTTCATCTTGAGCCCGCACATAGTGCTTATATGCTTTGACAAACTTCTTGATGTTTGAAGTGATTCTGAATGGTCAGTAGCAAAGAGCAAATAGGTAAAACTAAAGAAGCGTGTCTTCCATCAAGTAGTAGAGAGATAACATAAGGATATATAAAAATTGGTAAACTATGATAATAAATATTAGCAATTACCTTTTGCATTCCTCTTTCTCTGCAGATAATTGAGCCTCAAGTTCCTGAATTCTAGAAGTAAGACTATCTGCTTCTTCAGTTTTCTTTTCCAGTAAGATCTTTAGAAAATACACATACCAAGTGTCAAAATGTTTTTACTTATCATGAAACTAAAAGGCAACAACATCAAATATAAGGGAAGAAAAAGATGTTGGCAGCATAAAAAAAAAAAGGGATGCTTGAAGACATGTACATTGACAAATCACTATATGAAAAATGATTCATGCTTCAATTCAACACTTCGAGCTGGCAACTCAAGCATTTATGGAAAAGGAATATGCATGTCCTCTAGGTTTTTAATTCCTATGTGGTAAGCAAGCTGATTTCAAATCAACTAATGTTGCAGCAAACTCTTCTTCCCATGTCAAACAGCTTTTCTCATTACCACTCTCCCAAAAGTTGAGTGAACTTGAAAAACATACAGAAATTTCAGTACAATATTTGTGCTTCTTAAGTTACATATTAAATAACCCACAACGTTTGTCAATTGTCAATCAGCTTTCTTTTTGGAGAAAACCAAGAGAAGCAGAAAAGAAAAGAAAAGCGAAAGCAAAAAGGAACCTAGAACAATTGTAATATTTGAAATACCAAAAGTGGTTTCTTGGGATACATGTTAGAGTTATGAAGTCAGAAGAAAGTACTTTTAACATTATCATAATGCAACATGCATCCCAAGACCAAATGATAGATAGCATAAAAATTGAAGCTGGTCAAACTTTAATAGATCTTATTCGTGAAACATACTAATAGAATTCATAATCATAGATCAACATTTCACTTATTTCAGCCACTATAAACTACTTGAGAAAAAAATTTCCACAAAGGAATGCACACCTCAAACCACTGCAAGAGATGATGACATGAAACAACAAGAGAAAACATAATAAGTTCCCATCAATAAACAGCAAACTTGACAGGTTAAAGAAATAAAAGAATTAAACAATGACAAGAAAATTATTTTGTTTGCAGAATAGCAGCTAAAAAATCTAGAAACTGAAGAGCAGCACTCACCATTAATTCAGATTTGTGGTGCTCAAGCTTGTTGATGTTTGACTGCATTTCTTTCAGCTGCACATAGTTCCAAAATTAAAAAAAAATAAATGAAAATGGAATTTCCCTCATAAAAATATTCAAACAGATCAAGCTCTTCTAACCTCAGATGATGCACTTTTTCTTTCTTTAACTTGGTCATCTGCCCTATCTGAGACTTTCAGACTCCCAGAGAAATCACTTTGGCCATCATATTGCTGTTTCTTCCTGCGTTTTCTGTCACTTTAAAAGGAGAAAAATTAATTATTTTTTGGAAGCCAAAGACATACAGTGCGGGCATGAAAACAGAACAACACACAAAAATTTAGTTTGTGTGCCATTATGTATTCAATATATGTTTATAGTATCAGCAAAGATATTTCTAAAAGCACTGCCATATTTGTTTCCTCAAACCTTTTTAACACAAGCAGTTTTCAATAACTCACCAAACATGACGTAGCCACTAGATTGGAGTGTACAATGAACTACAGTCCTTTACATATTAAACTTAAAAGCCACACCATCTAATGGCATAGATGGACCCTGTAGAAGTGTTAATTAACACAACTTCCAAGCTGTAGATTAAAAAGGTTTCACAACCAGATCACTCATACCATGAAATGGATAAAAATATCTTAAGTATTCTTGCCAAGCCAATCAACCATTATCAAGAAAGATATGGACTCTTCAATATGAAATCCACACTGGCTGGGCTCCAGTAATACTAGAAAGTACAGTGACAAACTTCTGTTTGAAATTTCAAAGTTTGATGAAGTCCCTTGAACACTTCAATGGTGACGTAGGTATGTTCTCTCTATGAAATTCCAAAGGATACAAAAAATTATACTACACCAGTCAAGAACATAAAAGCTTAAGTAAACATAAGCCAATAGCACAGCCATAAACCCAAAAGGGAGGATATATCTTCAGAGAGGCAACACCTATGGAACCTTGAATAAATTAGAACCAGTAAAAGGTGGAATTGTGTTGACTCACCTGCTTTTCTCAAGAGACCTGGAAGGGCTTGATCCTGAAACAAATGCAGCCAACAAGAAAGGAAAAATCAGGGGGCAATTGTAGTCATATGACAAAAGAAACTGAGTTGATAACTACATATTTTTTCGGATTAAAAAAAAAGATAACTACATAAAATATCCTAGCTATCCTATAATAATTTATGTTAACACATTCATAATTTAAAGCACTACTCTACTCATCCACAGCCCAGAGATAAAAGGGGGGATAAAAACACAACTGTATGAAGAGAAGACATGGACAAGTTACAAGGACACAATTACTGACCACGAAATGAGTCTCGCCTGTTTGTATCTTTTCCTGGGGAATACTGGCGCTTTGGAGAAAGCCTTTGATCAAGTTTATCCCTCAAGTCACCACCTCGATAGTCCCGCGTACCTACAATAAGGAAGGGAATAAATTCCAGTACAGCAGGTTAGTATCTTCTATGTTTCAGTTAAAGCAACCAGAAGACCTGTAAATCATAATGATCCCAAGCTTACCATCATAAGGAACAAAATTAGCAAGAGCAATGAATAGAAATAATGCTTGCTTGCCAATTCCAAGGGGGATAAGATACTATCCCAATGTATTATGAATTGACAAAGAAGGTTACCATATAACATCAGGAAGAGAACCCTTCAAATCTAGAAGTCACATTGGATAAGACTAGAAGGTTACCATATAACACCAGGAAGAGAACCCTTCAAATATAGAAGTTGCATTGGATAAGACTAGACAATATATTCTGACTTCTCAATGAGGAATAAGGAATACAATACAAGCTGAATAACACAGATTGCTCTCCGGTGCCATATTAAGAAATAATGAGAATCTATTGAATACAACCAGTCAATATGTCCTGACTTCTTGATTAGCAATAAGAAATATGATGCCTCCATGGTAAAATCTTGTGGTATAATGTTTGCACGATAAATAAGACAAGTCAGTATACTCTGTCTTCTTGATGACAATAAGCAAAATAATAGAATCTGAATAATATAGATTTGTTGCCAGCACCATAATACAGGAGAATGTCAATGAATATACCATCAGCAAGAACAATTGGTTTCTTCATGAAATAACTCCCGCAAAACAATGCATACTTTCTCTGGTAGAAATCGCTTGAAAAGGATATTCAAGAAGACATAATAGATAATGAGCTCCAGCAGGATATAGACTACTGAATGCACTAGAGATAAGACTTGAGAACTCTGACAATGTTGCTTGCTATGTCCATATAATCACAGGCTATAAATTTCCAACGAGGCTAATATCAATCCTTCACCAAATTTTTTGCCATTTTGGAGATAAAGTATAGTATGATGAACAAGAATAAAGATCCTGAGACAAAAAAAAAAAAAATATAATACTGGAACCAGCTCTAAGATTAACGAATGAGCAATATCAATTCTGAAGGAAGCCAATAGTAGCTGACATTAACGAAACACATTCTCCAGATGCCATTTTGATGCATCTCCAAATCACTAGCTGATACTGCTGATCAAATGAAACAAAAATCTGCTGAAAGACATTTTGATTACGTCTCCAATTCACTCATGAATAAAATCCAAATCGAAGAATTCTCCTCATTTGTATTCCCTACTTCACATTTACCGCACTGCTTTTTCTCTGAATTCATGCACAATCATTTGGAAAACAAGTATTCATCATAAATTGTCACTCATAACAATAATAAACTAAAACATTTTCAAAAAAACAAACAAATTAAGATTAAATTAAAAGTAAAATTTAATACTCACATTCACAAAATAATCTATCAACAACTATGCTCACACCACCCAACCAAACATTTTTTTTTAAATGAATAATACCAAAAAAAAAGAAGCAATCTCATCAAAAAAAATTCACACAAATTTGATTAATTACAGTAAATAACAATAACAACAACAACAACAACAACAACAACAACAACAACAACAACAACAACAACAACAACAACAACAACAACAACAACAATAATAATAATTGAAACCTAGTATAGAACACATTACAGCCAGTAATAATGCAAAGAAAAACTAAAGACCAAAACGATTAAAAATTATACAAAATAGCAGTAAATAGGGTTACACAACGAGAAAAAAGGGAACGAAGAGCAAAGATACCATAACGAGAAGGCATGGATTGACGAAGCTCGGCGTTTCCATGAGCAAAAGAGCAATTTTGACGATGACAGCGGCCTTTTCGGTATAACACGCATAGCTTCGTCTTGAAGAGCTTCCTTTCCGTCATTTTAATATATTATCTATGAGAAAAACAATTTCCACAGAGAAAGCTTTTGAGGGAGAAAGTGATTCGCCTGAAGGTTACTGCAGGCGTAGAAACTAGAAAGTGAAAGGTATTGTGAAGGAATAGAGGGATGAACTACGTTTATATGCCTAAGGTTTGAAAGGCTTATCAATTTAGTCCCTATAATCGTTTTTCAGTCCCTAATTAGTAATTTGTTCAAAATCTTTGTGGTTTCTTTTTAAGAAATAAATTAGAAAAGACATTTGATTGAATTGTTGTATTTATTTATTTATTTTGTAAAAGAAAGGGCTTGAAAACAAAACAACCACGTATAAATTGCCATGGAATAATTAGCTTAAAAATTTTCAAAATAAAACTTTGGTTAGGATTAATGATTAATGATAAGCCTGGTTATTCAATCCTGTCTTATCTTTTTTTTTTAGATTAATATGAATGTTTGGACTAATTTACGTGCACTACAACTAATTTTACGAGTCCTGAAATTAACGACCATATAAGTCTCCAGTAACTATCATATGAATAACCAAAAACTTAAACCTGAGACTATAGAAGAAACAAACTTTTTAGTCTTAAATTCTTACACCTTAGTCCCAATTCTCAAGTTTTATTTTAATAATTCAATACGATAACTCATTGATTTAGAGTTTAATTTAGGTTAAACAATCTTATTAACTTGATTATATTATTTTTAAACCTGGTAAGATAGCAATGATTATTTTTTATTTTTTTAAATATATCTAAATAATATTTTTTTAATTTAATTTTTATATCAATACATTAAAATAATAAAAAATACACAAAAAATCAATTTTAAGCGAATAAAAATATATATAAATTAATTTTTTAAATATAAAAATAAACATGTTGAAAAACTTTCATTTAGAAAAATTACCATAGAATTACTGAAAAGAGCAAAACCTCATGATCTTATGGTTTTTAAGTGGAGTTGGTGCGTTTTGAAATATGGTTACATCTATATTTTTAAAAAATTTAAATTTTTTATTAAATTTTTATATTTTAGATTATTTTGATACTTTAATTTTAAAAATAATTTTTAAAAATAAAAAAATATTCTTTTAATATATTTAAACATAAAAATATTTTTAAAAATAATTATAATTACAATTTTAAGCACATCGTTAATATGTTTCTAGACCTCTAAATGTGACAATTTTTACATGGCTAAGATTTTATGAACAAGGTGCCAGCAAGCTCCTTCCTAGATGGCAACAAGTTGCTGATGAATCATTAATTTCTTATCCGCCTCCACTTAATATAAATATAAAATTACAGTAAAAATCAAATTTATTCATTATTTAATATTAAATCTAAATATTTTTATAATTTAGTTACTCTAATGATTTTTTCTGATAATTTAATTATTTTTTAACCACCGTTTATTTCTAACCATATTTTACAACCTCACTTACCATATGCAAACTTAAAAACACCTTTTAATTTAGGATTTTCAAAATCAAATCTGGTAAAGGGAATCAATTTATTTTTTCAAAACAAAGAGGATTAACATACAAACTCATTATAAAATTATGGACTAAATTATAATTTACTAAAACAAAAGGATATAAATAAAACAAGCTAATCAACCTGACCCATATAGCACTGCCAGTGTCAGCGTCCGTATAAACACCTCACAACGATGAAGGCTCGATATGTAAAGCGGTTGACTCGCTCGCTTCTCACCCACCTAAACTCGCCACAATCGCACCGCTTCTTCTCGAGCACTACCACCACCAAATCTCCTCTTCGCCACCACCAAATCACCATCATTTCCACTCAACCCATCTACTCGCCCCCCAAATTCCTTCGAATTGCCACATTTGCCACCAAAAGCGAGAGCATATTTGATGCTGCTGACGAACTTAGGGAGGATGATAATAAACACGACGTCGCGTCGGAGAGGAAGGAGCCACTACATGAATTTTCTAGAAACGTAGTGGTTCTCACGTGCGAGTCGAAAGCTGAGGGTGGCAAGTGTGTGGTTTTTTTAGTTGGCACTGCTCATGTTTCTCAGGTGAAAGCTGAAAGTCCAATATATATATATATATATATATTTGTGTTTTCTGGTTGTGTTTTCTGGTTCTGGGTGCTTGAGAAAGGGAAATTCTTGGTTTGAGAGAGCTTGACTTTAGTAATTTCTGCAAAGCTAAAATGGCATTTAAAAGCTTGTATTTTATTTGGTTTTCTTTTTATTTTTCTGTTTGATCGCTGGGAAAGTGAAGGAAAAAGCTGGGATTATTAAAATTTGAAGGCTTTTGTGTTTTGGGATGCTTGAGAAAAGGAAACTCTTTTCTTTAGTGAGTATAAAATGGTTGGATTTATAAGTTTATCAAATTTGTGCCAGAATTGAAAAATTTGCAAATTGTTTACCTTGATTTTTCTGTTGGGTTGTGAGTTGCAGGCATCATGCAGGGAAGTAGAAGCTGTAATCCGTCATGTGAAACCACAGGTGCTTTTGCAGTTTTTTTTTTTTTTGAAATTTCATTAACATTTGTATTCCAAATATTAATGCAAAGGTAATTGTTTAGAAGGTTAGCTGCCTGAATTTAAATTTTTTTTATGGCTTTTACTTGTCCCATGAAGATTCGCTACTTCGTTGATTACAGGTTGTATTTCTGGAATTGTGTGCAAGTAGAGTCGGTCTGCTTACCATTCGGAATTTAAAGGTCTGTCCCTGGAAAGTTTCTTGTTTTCTTTCTTTCATTTATGCTCTTTACCCTTCAATTTTCCACTTTCTGGTGTCTTTACTTTTGGTTGTTAAGGTACCAACAATGAAGGAAATGATAGAAAAGTGGAAGAAAACACAAAATGCGCCTCAAATTTTTCTTAGCTGGTTCTATGCCACCGTAAGTATTTAAGATGAATTTCTTATTCATGCTTTTCAATGAAAACTAGATTATTGTACATTGAGAATGTTATAAGTTAATTTTTGCATCAAGATTGTTTGATCAACTGCTTTTTTTCTTTTTATGTAAGGTTGGCGATAAGCTTGGAGTTGTTCCTGGTTCTGAGTTCCAGGTAGCATTTGAAGAAGCAAGAAAATGTGAGGCCAAGGTGGTACTTGGTGATCGCCCTGCACAGGTGAGATCCTTTTGCTGTCTTGCCAGTTGGAAATACTTAACCTATGCTATGTTTCTTCTGACACTGATATGCTGGATTCCCTATTAATTAACTTAACCTATGTTGCCCTGCCCACTTCTTTCTTGGGAGCGTGTGGATTACTTTGCTATTACTGCAAGAGAAGTTCATGATTGTGTTTATGAATATAGCAGTATTCATTTGATTGCCATTCATTTATAGTTTCCTCATAAGAGAAATTTCGCGGTATAGCTTCCTTTAGACTGATTTTGAGAATCTGAAAAAATTGTAGCCATGTCTTTGAATGCCAATCATGAGGTTTAATTTCATGGTTTGCCCAATTGGTCACTTGGTTGCTTTGTACAATCATGCTAGTTTCTGATGTGGGACAATAAAATTTGAAGAAAAGAAAAGGGGGAAAGGAAGAAAGAAGAGGAAGAAGGAGCTGGGAAGAAGAAGAGAAGGGAAAGGGGCAGGGGGAGGAGGAGAAATCCACAGATTTTTCTTAATTCACCATCAACTGTCAATAATGTGAAAAAACACATAAATAGTAAAATACAAATAAACCCAACGCCAATAATTGGGCTTATAAGCCACTAAACAAAATGACCTTCAATATAATATAAATTAAGCCCAATAATAAACCCAAATAAAATCCGATAACTTTGGGGTTGGGCTATCCTCCATCATCTTCGACCTTACACGTGTGTGAACCGGGTCTAGTGTCCCCACCAATTTCTCTATCCATTTGGTTTGCAATCTTTAGTCCAAAATCCAAATATAGTGCCAATATCCCTATATTCTAGCATTTATTTTGTTAGCAATAATGTTTCAAGTCTATTATTATATACAAATGGATGGTCTAACCACCATGAAGGCTTACCGAGCGATTGGATGTGTGGGATGCATGTTGTGGAATGCATGTTATGTCTTTTTGTGCTAGGTACTGGCTTCTCTCATGGTCTGGCTAGCATTCCATTGTGCTAATCTACGGGCAACACTTCCACATCCAGACATCTATTGCCATCCATCTAGAGTATCTGTTAATCTGGATTTTGGACTGAGACATTTCCAGTGGATAAATTCACTGGGTTTGTCAAATCTTTATTGCTGGACTGCTTCTTTAACTTTGAATCTTGAATGATTTAATGTGTAAAAGCAATAAGCTTGTATTTTCATTTTTATCAAGTCTTGTCCATTTTAGCGTTTTGTGAGCTTCTTTAATTAATTTTCTCAATTTCTCATTTGATGCTACTCTTTTTCATTCGTCTTACTGCTGTCACTAACTAATCTGACTTTGATGGTGTCAACTGAAACAGATTACTTTCAGGAGGACACAAGGTAAGTTACCTTTTTGGCATAAAGTAAAATTCTTGTGTGCTGTATTTGTTCAAACATTATTTTCATCAAGCTCTAAGAGTATCGACACAATGGTAAAATCTCTAAGCTCTCTTTTCCTTCACCTTTTCCCACCATTTCTTTTTTGATCCTTTATCTGCAGAAATTATTGAAGATTTCTAAATGTGATTGACAGTCAATTTGTTCCCTTGTTTTCAGATAAAAGACTTGGATGATGTTAAGAAGGTTACTATTTCAACTAAAAAACTAAGCAAGCAGTACCCCACTGTAATGGAAACCCTTGTGGACGAACGAGATCAGTTAATAGTCTTTTCCCATCATTTATTTTTGTAATCTGGTACTTTTTTTAAGTTGTCAAAAGATGAGAGTCCACTCCTCTGTTGTTGCCTTCCATAAAAAGGATGGAGCAGCGTCCATTAGGAAATAGTTTTTTTCCTGAAGGAATAGAGTTGCTGGAAATATTTTGCAACTTCCATTGCCCGAGTCTCTTTGGAGGAACATGTTTATAGTTGATGTCAAAGCTACATGCTCTTGGTACAAGAGTTTTTGTAAGAACTCACCTTGAACTCATCCTCATTGCATCTCTTTTCATGGACAGGAGAGTAGTTAATCTGAAATCTCTAATCTGTGATTAACTTGCTTAAAGTTCAGGGGTACGAACTCTCTACAAAGTTCTTTTTAAATGAATTTATTCATATCTATTTGGCTAACTTGCAGGTACATGTCATCGATCCTGCTAAGAATCGCTAAAGAACATACTGCGGTCGTAGCAGTCATCGGAAAAGGGCATTTGCAAGGAATTAAGAAGTATTGGGGGCAACCTATTGAGGTTGGTTAATAATATTTTTCGAGTGATGTACTTGTTTGCTGTTAGTCCATTAATGATAGAAATCTGATACATTATACCCTTAATTTATATTTGATGGAATCATAAGAACAACCAGATTAGCATCCACCTTGTTTACCAAACTTATAGATTGTCTAGCAAGTCTTTAGACTGTCATGCCCATCAGTTCTTCCTTCCCTCTGTTGCAGTTGAAGGATCTTCTTGAACTTCCTCCTCAGAAACCACCCTTCTCAGCTCTGAAGGTTCTTGCAGTTGCTGGTGTGGCCATTGGTTCAGCATTTTATCTTTCAAGCAAGAAATAGCTAACCAGAGTTTCGATTTGTATCAAATGAATTGAGGATCAGGATGCTCAGTTTTTTGAGGAGATTGTTCTGCCCATGCTTTTATATAATTCTGTATTCTCCGATTAACTCGTGATTTTTGGAAAAATTAATGAATACAAAGTTGGAATAGTCAGAAAATGTATTTAGATATTTTAAATTTTAAATTTTAAATTATTTTATTTTGATGTTTTTAGATTATTTTAATAAATTAATATTAAAAATAAATTTTAAAAAATAAAAAAATATTATTCTAATGCATTTTAAAAATTAAATCCTATTCCAATTTAAAGACAATGCAAATCAACTCAATGATTAAAAGACATTTTATTTTCTTTAATTATTTATGAATTTAAATTTTAAAATTAAAAGAATTTATTTCTTCAAATATTCACCAAGATAATATAAAAATTTATATAACTTTGACCTGGGAAAGTTTTATTTTAAATATTTTTTATTAAATTGATTTTTTTTAAATGAAATAATTTTTTTTATTTTAGTTTAAAAAATAAATTAAATTGTCAATACAAATTATTTGTTTGAAAAGAAAATAAAAGGATAGATGAAAACATGAAAAAAGAAAAAAAAAATATCAAATAGAGTTAAAGCAGGAAGTAACACTCCACTCCTGTTAACCACCCAGACAAGTCGGCCACGTAAAACTGGACCCACCAAAGCCCGACGAAGACAGGTATCACCACGTCATGTTAACCAAAACCACCGAGTCAGCGTCCATATAAAGTCTCCACCACCATAAAAACCCGATTAATGAATCGCTTCACTCGCTCACAACTCCCCCTCCTTAACTCACCCGATTCACACCGATTTTTCACTACCATCCCCACGAAATTCCCTCTCCCCCGCCCCCAAACCACCTTCAATTTCTCTCACTCAATCTGTTCACCCCGAAAGTTCCCCCAAATTATCACCTTCGCTACCAAAAAACCCACCAATCCGATAAATTCCAACCCGAACCGGAATCCTATGGATCCGAACCCTTCTAAAGAGGATTTTGTTCACATCGAAAGCCCTAGCAATAACGATAATCATTTAAGCGAAAGCATAGTTGATGTTGCTAATGAACTTAGCGAGGATGATGACAAAAACGACGTCGTGATGGGGAGGAAAGAGCTACCTGAGGAACTGTCTAAAAGCGTTATGGTTCTCACGTGCGAGTCGAAAGCTGAAGGTGGCACATGTGTCGTGCATTTAGTTGGGACTGCTCATGTTTCTCAGGTGAAAATTTGAAATTCTGTGTTTTTTTTTTTTTTTGTGTGTGTTTGGTTGAGAAAATGAAGGAAATTGTGAGAAATTTGGAAAGATTGGGACCTTTTTTTCTGTGCTGAATGCTTATTTTTGTTAAATTTTGGCAGAAATAAAGTTGTGGAAAAGTGAATTACTTGGTTTTAATTTATGTTTTTCTGTGTGATTGCTTAGAAAGTGAAGGAAAATGTGAGAAACTTTTGTGTTTTGCGTTAGCATGGGATACTTGAGATTGAGAAAGAGAAAATTCTTTGCTTTATTAGTGAGCATAAGATATCTAATTGGTAAATTTCGGAAAAATAATTAAACTTGCATTGTACAGTGTAAATTAATTAGTTTGATTTAGATTTTCTATTGGGCTGCTGACAAAATCAAGTTAAGTGAGTTTAAAATGGCTAGTCAATATTACGCTAGGATTGAATATTGTGTACAATTTCTTTATGTTGTTTTCTTTTTCCAGTCCCCATATAAGCTTGTTGTGTTTTTGGATGGAGAAAGTGAAGGAAAAAAAGCACGGAACTTATTAAATATTGAAGCTTGTCGTGTTAGTACTTGATTCCTTAGATTGAGAAAAAGAAAAATATTTTTCTTAATTGAGTATAAAACGAGTGATTAGTTAACATTTGCAAAATTAAGTAGTATTGAAAAGAGCAAAATATTTGGTTTTGATTTGAATTTTCTGTTTGTCTCGGAGCAAATGAAAGAAAAGCGAGGCAGTATTGGTGCTGTAACTTTTTGGAGCTTTTGTGTTAGTATTGGATACCTGAGAAAGAAGAAAAAAATTCTGTGCTCAAGTGATTATGAACTCTTTAATTTTGTAAGTTTTAGCAAAACTAAACTAGCATTGAAAAATGTATAGTATTTAGTTATGGTTTAAATCTTATGCTTGGTTGCTGAGAAAGTGAAGGGAAAATAGAGAAATTGTTGAAGTTTGCTTTCTTTGTTTAAGTGAGCCTAAAAGGGCTACTTTTGTATTTTCTGCTGAACTAAACTGGCATTCAAGAATGTGTATTTTATTTGGTTTTGATTTCATTTTTCTGTTTTATTGCTGAGAAAGTGGAGGAAAAAACTGAAATTCCTATTTTAAAACTTTTTGTTGTTTTGGGATGCTTGACTAAAGATAAATCTTTTCTCAAGTGAGTATCAAATGGCTAATCTTGTAAATTTTTTCAAAATCAAGCAAGAATTGAAAAATATGTAAATTTTTATGTTGATATTTTTGCTGGGTTGCGAATTGTAGGAATCATGCCGGGAAGTACAAGCTGTAGTCAGTTACTTGAAACCACAGGTGCTTTTTCCCTTTTTGTGAAACTTCAATAACATTTTGATTCCAAATATTAATGCGAAGTTCTATTTTTAGAAGGTTAGCTGCCTGCATTTAGATTGTTTTTATGGTGTCTTACTTGTCCCATTTAGACTCCTCAAAGTGAAGCTAGCATTTGTTGATTGCAGGTTGTATTTCTGGAATTGTGTGCGAGTAGAGTGGCTGTGCTTTCTCCTCAGAATTTAAAGGTCTGCTGCCTCCAGAAAGTTTCTTGCTTTCTTTCATTAATGTTTTTTACCCTTTAAGTTCTCATATTCTGATGTGTTCTTTTTTGATTGTTCAGGTGCCAACTATGGGGGAAATGATAGAGATGTGGAAGAAAAATCATAACACATTTGGAATTCTTTATAGCTGGTTTCTTGCCAAGGTAAGTGTTTAAGATGAATTTCTTATTAGTGCTTTTCGATCAAGACTGCAACCTTAAACTTTGATATTGATATAAGTTAACTCTTGCATCAAGATTATTTGGGCAACTTTTATTTTATTTTCTATGTAAGGTTTCTGATAAGCTTGAAGTTTTTCCTGGTTCTGAGTTCCGGGTAGCATTTGAAGAAGCGAGAAAATACGAGGGTAAGGTAGTACTTGGTGATCGTCCTGTACAGGTAACATCCTTTTGCTGTATTGCCAGTTGGAAGTGCTTGTTGCTTTTGACATTGATATGCTGGATTATCTATTAATCTGGCTTAACTATGTTGTCCTGCCCACTTCTTGCTTGGGAGTTGGGTGGAATACTTTCCTGTTACTGCAAGAGAAATTCCTGGTTGTGTTTATGAATTTAGTAGATTTATTTGATTGCCATTCACATGTAGTTTTCTCGTAAGAGAAATTTAGTGGTATAGCCTCCTTTAGGCTGATTTTGAGGATGTGAGAAAAACATTTACAGTAATCTCCTTGAAGGCCAATTAGGAGGTTTAATTTTGGTCTGCCTAACACGTACTTGGTCATTACAGTTGCCCCTAGTTTCTCTATCCATATTTGCATTTTCTAGTCCAAAATCTACATCTAATGCCAGTATCCCTATGCCGAAGCATTTATTTTTATTGCAATCAGTTTTCAAGTATAAAATAATATGCAAAAAAAAGAGAGGATGGTTTAACCACCATGAAGGTTGACTGTGAGATTTGGTACATGGGATGTATGTTGCATATATTTGTGCTTGGTTCTGGCTACTTTCCTAGTCTGGTTAGCATTTCTTATTGCTAATCTAGGGCCCAACAATTCCCCATCCAGGCATATATTGCCATCCATCTAAAGTGCCTATCATTACCCTGGCTTTTGGACTGATACATCTCATGTTTAGTGGATTTGTCAAATGTTTATTGCTGGATTGCTTCTTCAGCTCGTTATTCATGAATGCAGACAGTGTAAAACAATAAACTCACATTTTAATCTCTATCAAGTCTTGTCCACCTAGCATTTTATGAGCTTGTTTACTTAATTTTCTTCACTTCTCTTTTGATTTTATTCTTTTCTTCCTTCTTACTGCTGTTACAAACTACTTTGACTCTGATGGCATCAATTGAAACAGATTACTTTGCAGAGGACATGGGGTAAAATGCCACTGTGGCATAAAGTGAAATTGCTGTACTCATTACTTTTTCAAGCGTTATTTTTACCAAGCTCTGAGGATCTTGACAAAATGGTAAATTCTCTAAGCTCCCTTTTCTTTACTTATTTTCCCCCAAAAAACTTAATTTTTTTCCTTAGCTACAGAAATTATTCAATATTGTTGAACTGTTGTTGACAGTCAATTTGTTTGCTTATTTCCAGCTAAAAGAAATGGATGATGTTGACATGCTGACTCTTGTCATTCAAGAAATGAGCAAGCAGTTCCCCACTCTAATGGATACCCTTGTGCATGAGCGAGATCAGTTAGTAGTCTTTTGCCCCTGTTTATTTTTGTATTTTGATACTTTTTTAGTTGTGAAAAGATGACAATCCCTTCCTCTGTTGTTGGCTTTTATAAAAAGGAAGAAGCAGAGTCTATTGGTAAACAGTTTTCTGTTTCTATGAGTTTACAAAGGGAATGGAATTGCTAGAAATATTTTGCAACTTCTATTGCCTATTTCACTTTGGAGGAGCGTGTTTATAGTTTGATGTCTGACCTACATGCTCTTGTTCTGTGAAAACGTTTTTGGAAAAATCCACCTGGAACTCATGTTCCTTTCATCTATTTATGTACTGAAAGTTAATCAGGAACTACTTCTCTGTGAACAACTGTGATAGTTTAGGGGTACGAGCTCCTTATGAAGAACTTTTTCTGTTTTTGAATGAAATTTTAATATCCATTTCAACTTTCAGGTATATGTCATCAACGCTGCTAAGAATTGCTAAAGAACACACATCAGTCGTTGCAGTAGTTGGAAAGGGGCATTTACAAGGGATTAAGAAACATTGGGGGCAACCTTTTGAGGTTGGTTGAGAATATTTTTTTGAGTTGTGTGCTATTTGATTACAGAATGCCAAACTTGTTAGTTAGTCCATTAATAATTCAATTAATGACAAAAGTCTGACTCATAATACAGTTAGTTTTATTAATGAAACC